AAAAAAAAAACTATTTAAATATCGAAAGATTTGATTTTTTTTATTTTAGAAAGTTTATTAAATGATTTGTGGATGATGTCGAAAACATTTTTTAGGAGAAATTCTTAAAAAGATAAACGAAACATTAATTAAGAAATAATTATAAATGAGTACATATTATATTTATTTTAATTTTTCAAATTAATTTTTGGGATCGGGATCATGGGCGGGATAGTAATTATTTCATATGTATCATCAGATAGAAAAATTATGCTCGTGAATAAGTTATGATTCTTCTAATTCCATTTATAAGATTTTAATATACAAATTATAGACATAGAGCATATGTTAGGTGTGTTTTTGTCTTAATAAAAATAAAAACTACAATTTACGTTGTGCCTGCAATTTTACAAATACTTTGATAATATTAACAACAATAATATCATTATGAAATTCTTTCAACCAAACCATCAACTTAATATATTAATCTACAATTTGTGAGAAAGAGTAGGTGTTTTACGTGAGCACAAATGTATTTAATGTATCAATAAAACACTGGCACATAACCTTTTTCTTAACGCAAGAACCATTCATTAAGATTTGTAATCATAGCACTTCTCCTTTGTCTTCTTAATAAGATATTCAATGCCAAAAAACTATGGCATCTTTGTGAACAGAATAAGACATTAGTAGTATAAACACTTTCCTTTTGAATACGTATTCAATTTCATGGAATGTGAACACAAACAATATAGCTTCTAAGAGCTCTCTTTCTCTCTAGTCTCTTCTAAAGATATATATATAAGAAAGCATCACAGTCTCGTCTTTCTAACTTTTAAAGCATGTCGTTCATCGGTGGCAACTCCTTTGTGATCTCAAAAGGAAAACATTTTGGATTCCAAGAATAAGAAAGATCTATATACAAAGTGAAAGACGAAGAGGCATAAAATTTTCTCAAATTCATAGTTTTAATCAAAAGGAATTTTTTCATTAATTAGAAATCAATGATACCTAATAAGAAATGGAAAGCTCTAGCTCACGATGTTGGTAGTGAATACCATGCAACAAATTGAGAATTTCACCAATAACAGAAGAAGAGGAATATATACACTTACGAAAATTGTACTGTTACAAAATCCTTGACGTTACGGTGGTGAACCTCATCGGCATGGCATGGACCACCAGAGTGTTGCATTTGCAGGTACCCTTCACTAATCAATCGCAATGGCAAGAGCAAGAACATTTTCGATGATATTTGAGGAATTCAGGATGAGAGTGAATTGCTTCTTCTTCAAGGTACCAAACATACAATTGAGCAAACTTCGGAAAGATTAGGTGTCCAAGGAAATAAGCGCTGAAAAACATTTTGAACCACTACAAAAAAACATGCCACTTTCTGACGGCATTTCCGACGGACATTAAGCGGTCAGAATTTTGTCACCGAATTCCGACGTATTTTGGACCGATTTTCAACCGAAACATTTCGGTTCAAAATCGGTTGGAAATTCCCAACGAAAACAATATCCATCGGAATACGGTTGCAAATATTGGTCAGAAATCCGTGGAAAACACATTTGGTAGGAATTTGGTTGGAAAATTCGGTCGAAAATTTGTCGAAAACTCATTTGGTAGGAATTCGGTTGAAAAATTTTCAACGGATTTCCAACGACTTAATAGTTTTTAAAAAACATAATTGCCGTGGAAAATCCGTCGCAAATCTTCCACGGATTTCCCACCGATTTTGAATTTTGACCGCCAAAACTTTTGAAAACCCGCCTAAATTTTTTGAAAGAAATTCAATTTCGCGGTAAATTTTAAAAATCCGACGGATTTTATTTCCAACGGCACTATTGGTTGAAAATCCGTAGGAAAATGTCAATAAATTAAATAGACCACATATTTTCTCCTTCATTCTCAAAATTTA